TCATTGAACAGCATTTCTTTATGATTATCCCTTTAAAAATTTGTATGTGAGTGTGTGTAATTACTACAAGTCTAACTTTTATCACTAACTTAATCAGTGCTTTGGCACTTAACCCCTGTGGGTCAGTTTCTTCAGCTATAAAAATAGTTACAAAGTCTAATGATAATGATTTAAAAGATTATGTAGCAACTAAAATTTTACTGAAACCAGTCCTTTCAAATAAAATACATCAAACAATTTGCTAATTGTATTGTATATAAGGGGACATTGTATTAGAAAGAAAGTTCTCCCGAGTGTGGTTCTTATTACTATTGCCTTATCCAAATAGGAGAAAATTCTGTTTTCTATTCCAGTTATTGATTGGTTTAATAATCAACTTAGGGATAGTATATTTGGTGAGTCCAAAAGTAAATTAGGCAATTTAGAAATGGCTACAATATTTAACAGTTTAAGAGGTAATATGTAGGTCTTAGTGGCATTGAAAAAATGATGAAATGAAAGGTTTGATTAGAATCAGTGTAACTATTATACACGGCTAATGTGTACTGAAGTATAATAAAAGTGGTTCCAATGCCTTTGCACTGGGCAGGTTTCAACCTTTTGTTTAACAACCTCAGAGTCTAAACATAATTACTATTAATGTGGGTTCAAAACACACAGAAGAAACAGCAATCACTCTGGATTAGCCTTGGTTTGCCAATGAAAAAAAATTTTAAATAGCACATTAAAAAAATAGCACAGACAAATTGTGTCCAGTCAGGGGTCATGCTCACAGAGTCATTGGTGATGCAAACTGATTTGGATTTCCAGTTCGCTGGTCTATTATAAACATTCTTGCCTTTACTTACTTTGAAAAACAAAATCCAACCAAACTTCCCCCAAGAGGCAATTGCAAACTAACCTCCAGACAGAACTGTCAAAGCCAATAAAATCATCTGCAAACTTTCAGGCTTATGTTGAACTTCCAAGGCGTGGGTAACCTGTATTAGAAAAGACATCTTTTTAAAGCTTTCCCTGAAGTGTCTGGGCCATCTGTTTTGGCCCAAGCTCCCCATGTTAGAGCTGTTATCAAGTCCTGTTGGCGCTCCCATTGCTACCGTTAACAAATGGATTTGTCACCCCCACGTTAAGAAAAACCAGATGTTTCCTTTGTTGTTCTGTATTCCGATAGCAGGTCAAGAGTGGTTTAAACAGCACCAGTGAAACTGAGATTTAGAAATAATGTTATGAATCTGATCAATGAGGTCATATGATTTAGGACCATTTCAAGATTTAGACTGAATTTCAATAATTGGCCATCTACATTTATCGGATTACCCCCAGATTAATCAGATTTTTTGGTAACTGTATACCTATATTTTATGGGAATCATAATTTGTATGGAAGCAGTTATAAATATACAATAAAATATTTAAACATGTCAGGTCTTGTAACCCATCAATTAATTTCTTAACCCAATGTTTATTGAGCCTCTGCCATGTGCTAGGGAGGTGTTAGTGTCTGAGCTACACAGATGAATGTGATGTGTTCCTCACCGTGGAGGGGCTCTTAGTCCAGCATGGATAGCCCGCATGTAGATCAGCAGACATGCACCAACCATTGTTAGGAGAGTGTCATGGACCCACTGTGGTGATTGGGAGGAGGTGAGGGAACATGGACGACCCTGCAAGGGGGACCACGTTTCAGCCACATCTGAAAGGGTGAGCAGGAATTTGCCAGGCCACTACTTTCAGGGGGATGCAGATGAGGAAATGAATTCTTAGCAGAGGGAGCAGGCAGACAACCTTGAAATAATTCTATGTTCAGGGTTCTGTAAGTAGTTCAGCATAGTTGGGGCCACCGGGTTTGGGGCAGGGCAGGAAATATGGCTGAAAAAGTAGGTGAGAATCAGAATAGGCAGGGTCTTGTTACCACACCAAGAAAGAAGATCTGTGTGGTAGGCGATCAGGAGTCACTAAACTATTTTAAGAAAAAAGAATTGGAATTTTACAGTTTAGAAAGATCACTCCAGTTTAATGCAAGTTTTGGAGCAAGGTGAGATTGGAGGCAGGGTGGCGAGACGGAAGGCCATTTCTTTAATGTAGGAGAACAATGATGAAAGCTTCATGTAAAGCCGGGACAGCTGGGATGCAAGGCAGGGAGGCAAGTTTGACAGATGCTGACGGTGTGGACTGTTCAGGACCACTCTGAGGTAATAGAAATTGAGCTATACTCACAAAGGTTGCCTTTGGTTTGTTTTATTTATTTTTTGTTGTTTAATGGAAGTCTGGGGCACAGCAACGCCTTCATTTTGGACTTGGTGAGCTTGAGTTGGAGTATTTATGTGGCCCTGCACAATGAGTTGTAGTTATGTCAAAATACCAATGTGCCAATTGTTCTATTGCCTATTTGGTTATGTTGGGAACTACGGTTTTCACTCTCCTTCTCCATGTCATTCCAGTTTGTAATTGGCCCAAAGGGAAGCTGTGTGAGTTCTGGGAGTCAGAACAGAAGCAGCTGTCATTATGTTCTGGAGGTTATCGTTGGACCCAGGGGTGCTGCTGCATTCCAGTTTCTTCTTGCTCTTTCCTCCTTCCCGATGCTGGCCTTCCGCACCAGAAGTGACCCCAGGCCTCCACTGGACACTTTGCTGACAACTCAGAGGTGGCAGCCATGAAGAGCCACGACCTTCATAGAGTGTGTGGTTTCCCCCCAACCCCACTTCCTAGCAGCAGTGTGTGCTGCCCTACACAGTTCCTGCAAGTTCTGACTCGTTCGTGACTTGTCTCTGTTGCTTCAGCAACATTTTTCAGATATTTATCTCCTCAGCTCTTCCTACAGTTAAGTACTAATTCCTCGCATAAATTCCTTCTCCTGTATCACTCATGGTGGTTCTGCTTCCCGACATGTATTTTCAAACTGAACCCCTTAAAAACACTATATTTAAAAACATAGTACTTTTTATTGCTTGAAATTGTTTTGATTGTTTTTTACTTTTAAAGGTTTTTATTAAAAATGTAAATAACATACAATATTATATTAGTTTCAGTGGTACACCATAGTTATTCAATATTTGTATACCTAAAGAAGTGATCACCATAAGTCCAGCCACCATCTGACACTGTACCACGCTATCTCAATATTATTGACTATATTCCCTCTTCTGTACTTTACATCCCCATGATTTATTTATTTTATACCTAGAAATTTGAACCTTTTATTTCCCCTTCACCTTTCCCCCCTTTTAAAATTTATCAATTACAGTTGACATTTAGTATTATTTTATATTAATTTCAGGCATACAGCATAGTGGTTAGACATTTATATAATTTAAGAAGTGATCCCCCTGACTAGTTTAGTACCCACCTGACACTATACATAGTTATTACCATATCATTGACTATATTCCCTATGCTTTATTTTACATCCCCATGATTATTTTGTAACTACCAATCTGTACTTTTTAATCCTTTCATCTTTTTCACCCTCTCCCCAACCCCCTCCCATCTATCACCCCAACAAATCTTGTACCCATCTGACACCATACAGTTATACAACATTATTGACTATATTCTTTGTGCTATACCCTACATCCCCATGACTACTTTGTAACAAACAATTTGTACTTCTTAATCCCTTCTCCCTTTTTCTACACACACCCCCAACCCCCTCCCAATTGACAACTATCAAACGTTTTCTGTATCTATGAGTTTGTTTTTGTTTTGTTAATTTTTTTTTCTTAGATTCCACATATAAGTGAAATTGCATTGCATGTGTCTTTCTCTGTGTGATATACTCCACTCAGCACAGGTCCCTCCTTACCACTGCAGATGACAAGAACCCATTCCTTTCCCTTCCCTGGCTGAGCAGTATTCTATTGTATATGTGTACTATCTCCTCTTTATCCATTCATCTATCGACAGACATCCAGGCTGCCTCCACATCTTGGCCATTGTAAACAATGCTGCAATGAATATATGAAGGCACACATCCCCTCCAAGTAGCATTTTGGGATTCTTTGGATAAATACCCTGAAGTGGGATGACTGGGTCCTTCTTGGACTATTGTTATAGCCTTTGTTTTAAAGTCTATTTTGTTTGGTATAAGTATTGCTACTCCAGCTTTTTTGTTGGTTTGTTTTATTTCCATTTTCATGAAATACCTTTTTCCATTCCTTCACTTTTGATCTCTGTGTGTCTTTCAATTTGAAGTGAATCTCTTGTAGGCAGCATATGTAAGGATTTTTCTTTTTCATTGGGGAACAGTGTGTTTTTCCAGGACCCATCAGCTCGAAGTCAAGTAGTTGTTTCAATCTAGTTGTGGAGGCACAACTCAGTGGCCCATGTGGGGATTGAACCGGCAACCTTGGTGTTATGAGCACTGCATTCTAACCAGCTGAGCTAACTGGCAGCCCCAGGGTTTTCTTTTTTTATCTGTCCTACCCTTCTATGTCTTTTGATTGGCGCATTTAATCTATTTACATTGAAAATAATTGTTGGTAGATATGTAGCTATTTTATTATTCATAATTTTGATTTTTTTCTGTGTTAAAAAAGTCCCTCTAACATTTCTTATAATATTGGCTTGGTGGCTATGAACTTCTTTAGCTTTTTCTTGTCTGCAAAGCTCTTTATCTGTCCTTCAGTTCTAAATGATAGCTTTGCTGGGTAGAATAGTTTTGGTTGTAGGTCCTTGCTTTTCATCACGTTGAATATTTTGTGCCAATCAATCCCTTCTTGCCTACAAAGTTTCTGTTGATAAATCAGCTGAAAACCTTATGGGGGCTCCCTTATCAGTTACCAGTTGCCTTTCTCTTGCTGCTTTTAGGATTCTCTCTTGGTCTTTTACTTTTGCCATTTTAATCATAAAGTGTCTAGGTATGGGTCTGTTTGGGTTCATCCTGTTTGGGACTCTCTGCACTTCCTGGACTTGTATGTCTATTTCCTATGCCAGGTTAGAAAATTTTTCAGTCATTATTTCTTCATATAGGTTCTCAATCCCTTGCTTTCTCTCTTCTCCTTCTGGAACCCTTATGATGTGAATGTTGTTAAGCTTGATGTTGTCCCAGAGGCCCCTTAACCTATCTTCATTTTTTTGATTTTTAAAATTTTTGCTGTTCAGATTGGGTGTTTTCTTCTTATCTTCCAAATTGCTGATTCAATTCCCTTTTCATCTGGTCTGCTGTTGATTCCTTCTAGCACAGTCTTCATTTCAGTTATTATATTCTTCACTTCTGACTGGTTCTTTTTTTATGGTTGCTATGTCCTTTTTAATGCTTGCTATCTCTTTATGGAAGTTCTCACTAAGTTCCTTGAACATCCTGATAACCATTGCTTTGAACTATGTCTCTTGTAGGTTGCCTGCCTCTATGTAGTTTAGTTTTTTTTTCTGGATTTTTCTTCTGTTCTTTCATTTGGGACACATGTCTTTATTTCCTCATTTTGGCTGCTTCTCTGTATTAGTTTCTATGTATTCAGTCGATTTGCTGTGTCTCCTAGTCTTGGCCAGATGGCTTCACGTAGTAGGTGTCCTGTGGGGCCTAGTGGCAGTCTCCCTGGTCACCTGAGCTGGGTGCTCCAGGAGTGTCCCTTGTGTGGGTTGTGTGTGCCCTCCTGTTATAGTTGAGCCTTGATTGCTATTAGCATGTTAGTGGGTGAAATTGTCTCTCAGGCTGACTGGCTATGGGGTTTTGCCAAGTCCAAAGCTTATGGGCTGCTGTTTGGAAGGCTTACCCCACTGAGTGGGTTTTGCTCCAGTGGGCTCTGGTGCCTGTTGAGACCACCCTTTGTGTGTGCCACTTGTGGGGCTAATTGGACAGTGTTCTGCTGTGGTCTGAAGCCAACCTACAAGTATGTTGGTTCTGGAGCCTCTTGGGATGGGTTCTGGTGCAGACACAGGTCACCCACTGCCTGGGACTGGCCAGGGGGCACCTGGTAGGAGCTACAAAGTGATCTGCAGTTTTTTGCTGCCTGTGGTTAACCTGGAGGTGCAAGGGAGAGGTCATGCTGTGAACCAAGGACAGCTGCCACCAGTAACAGGCCTGGGGTAACTTCACAGAAAGGCAGGACACGCAGAGGCCTGCTGCCACCTGCTGGCTTCCTTAAGGTTCAGCCACTGATCAAGCCTCCTGTGGTATGCAAGTTGTGTGATGCAGGGTCTTAGGGAGTCACTAGAAAGGGAAGAGCTGCAGGCAGCAGGTTAATTAATGTAGACTCTGGTTTGGTGCCAGTGTTGAGCCTGGAGCTACTCAGCAAAGGTCTCAGAGCACACCAAGGCCAGTCGCTGCCCACCTGGGGCTTGTGAACTCTGATAGTTTTCCAAGAAGAAGTGCAATGCAGGAGGGGCTGGCTGCTCATGGAGAAAGTGCCTCCGGTGGTTCACAAGATGGCTTTGGTTGGGTCCCAGCTGAGTCAGCAGGGCATAGCAGAGCTCACCAGGCCAATCAGATTCAGATTTGGCTTGTGGGGGCGGACTCAACACAGGAAAGATGGCGCCCACCTGCTGGCTGCATGGGTGGATGACCTCTCACTGGGAAAATGCCAACTGTCCTCCAGTCCTCCCCTGAAGCCACACTCCTTAGTCTACTCCCTGTACATCCCTGATGCCCCAAGTGACCATCTCTCTGCTGGAGCCCAAGGTGAGTGTCTGGTTGTGAGTCTGTGTGCGGGCCCTTTAGAGGACATCTGGGTTTCCTTGCAGCCTTCCCTCCCCATCGGATGGTCAGAATCGCCACTGTTTCTCACAGCCAGATGTTGTGGGAGCTCCTCCTCCCGGCACCAGTGCTCTGGGCTGGGGAGCTCGGTGTGGAGGGCTGGGGTCCATTGCTCCTCAGGGGAACCTCCATGGCTGAGATATCCCTCCTGATTCTTAATTGCCACATGGAGGTTTGGGGCCCATTCCACATCTTGGCCCCTCCTACCAGTCTCAACAGGGCTTCTTCTTTATAGTTTTAGTTATTGGACTTCTGTTTGGCTAGATTTCAGCTGGTTGCCCAGGTTGATTGTGTATAATTTAGTTGTAATTTTAATGTGTTCACAGAAGAACACAAGCACAGTTTTTATCTACTCTGCCATCTTGGATCTCCGAAATTATTTTGATTTTGAGAGCCTGATTTTTTTCTGACTTCCTGACAGTGATCACTAGCATAGAATGATGATCTCAATGTGTCCAAACAGGAGAAATTGTCCGGATAGCTGTGAGGAATTTCAAGAAAATTCAACATTTGGTTCTATGCTGTAGAAAGAAATCATTATTGTTTTTTTTTCTTTTTTGTATGTGAACATTTTAATATTATATAATGTAGTGCTGTGGAATTATTTGGGCCATAGAGAGCCAGACATGAAAGATCTTAGGTGCCCTGGAGACATGGAGGGAGGACCAGGGCAGATTGTGACAGGAAAGAGGCGTTCCTCCTGCTAGCAGGTGAAGCCATCTTGGGGTAAAGTGGGATGAAGCTTTGTGTTGAAAATGCAGCTGTGAGACAGGGATCCTCATGCTATTGGATTGGTTTGGTGAGGATCCTGTCACAAGCAGGTTAAGAACAGGAGTAAGTGGGGGATACTGTCCAGAACGAGCATAAAGGTTTGGGTTGCTCTTCTCCATCCTCTCCTCACGTGGGAAGAGGGTGGAGTTTAAGTGCAAGGATGGAAAAGAAGAGGTTTACCTTTGTTGCCAGTAT